TATCTAGCATGCAAATAAACATATATATAATATAATATTGTTGACAATTATGGAGTTCTACTATCTAGTTTTTAAAAGACATAAAATAGACTAGTTGGTCATTTTCTAGGGGATATTGCATTGACTCATACAATGCTCAATATCTATGGCCTCCTTCTCTTCTTATTTCTTTAATTAGTCCAGTTGCAATTTGTATCATATACTAGTTGGTACACAGACTTAAATAATAGGACATGCGGGCCCATAATAATTACAACGGATTCGCAAGTTTGAAATAAACTAGAGCTCACAGGCTCATAGAACAACAAGAATAAAATAACCATTCAACACACTCACATGGTCGACTGCATAATCATTCACTAATAATACATTCATCATATAAATGCATTCTCATATAACATCTAATATTATATGCAAACATGTTTCAAGTTTCTAACAATTAAAGTCATCTAAACTATTTTAGAAAAAATGGATCGGAACAATTAAATAATTAATTAATCATATTAATCAATTGATTTAATTAGTGGATATATTTAATTAAAATCAAATTTTAATTACATATACCAAATTAAATTCTAACTCTAATTTCACAATTATAGGGCGAGACTATTTAATTAAAATCAAGATTTAATTAAATATTAAATTAGAGTCCACCTCTAATTTCAAAACTTAAAGCGGATGATTTTAATTAAAATCAAATTTTAATTAAATATTAAAATTAGAGTCCAACTCTAATTCCAAGATTTTAGGGTGAACTTATTTAATTACAATAAAATTTTAATTAAATATTGAATTAGAGTACAACTCTAATTACAAGAATATATTAGAGTCAATTATTTAATTAAAATCAAATTTCAATTAAATACTAAATTAGAATCCAACTCTAATTTAAATTGAATTAAGATTTTAGTTTAGGATTAAAGTTCCAAATAGAAAAAATTCAATTTAGAGTCAAATTTTAATATTTAAGTTAAAATCTAATTTTAACGAAAATCTAAAGTCGTCAATTTTAAATGAAATTTTAAATAGTCAAAATTGAAATTTTGAGTCAAACCCATTTGAAAATCAACTTTAAAATCATTTTAATATTTAAATTCAAAACTATTAGAAAAATTGCAATCTGACCCTTATTTAAATTTATAGACGAGCCCTTTCAATTAACTTAATTGCATGACAGGCCCTCCATTTAAAATTGTTAAATGACTTTTGAGTTTTAATTGCAAGTGGGGGCTCCTAATTTTCATAAAATGCATATAAAGCCCCACCTCCAATTTTCCCACACCCATTTCTAGAGAACCCTAAAATCGAATAGGCTTCTGCAGTTCGTGGCAAGAGACGTCGCTCTCAGGCATCAGCATCTCGTCACTGTAGCAGCACAACCTACTGCTGTTGCAGCAGCAACATGTGCAACAATGGTAAGTGCAACAACGTGCTGCCAGTACGTTGCTGTGAGCGCCCTTATTTCGATCTGAATTTCAACCCAAAAATTAATTTTTGTGTCAAAACAGATTTTAAAAATATGAAAGTCAAATTTTCTCAATAGCTAGAAACAAGAAAAAGAATAGCAATCAATTTTTGATTGTCCCAAATATTCAAAAATGGTTTCTAAAAAGCACAAAATAGGCTCTGATACCATTGTTGGGAATTTACTTAATCATGTACAGTGAGATTTAAACAATATTTCAATTCCCATTAAGGATCTACTTTCTGTTTGGATAAAAATTGTGATAGAAATTATACATTTGTTAAATTCTTCAAACTCATTTGCTTTTCTTTTGCTCCATCATTCTCGATCTGCAACTCATAAGTGTCCAATTATCCACCCTCCAATGAAAATCCACACTACCGGTGGAAACGGGCTTCCCAAAAAGCCGGCCCGGGCCGGGGTCATCAATGGATACCTTCTTCCTCAAACACTTCTCCAGCAGCTTCACTGGTCGCTGGTCTGCCATTCTCAGTGTGACGAACTATTTTTTTTCTTTTCTTTTGCCAACAAGAATAATGGAAATTCTCTCTATAGTTTTCAAATCTTTGTCTATGAATTAATTAATACAATTAATTAATTCAGACATATTAATAAGAAACTCAATTAATTAATAATTATCCAACACCTTTCAATTAATTAATTGGTAATTTTCATTCTTCTAGTTCTATTTTTGTGTGTGAGTCATTAGGTTTCCAATTACGATATCTAACGACGTGAATTATTATTTTGATCTAATCAAAATCGATAATTTAAAATACTCCTTTACAATTTATTAAAAATTCACATTCGTCATCCCGAATTGACATCTAATAATGTGTCAAGCAATACATGTGAAAAAAATGTCACGTAGTATGACAAAACAAAACTTATTTGTTTATCGTGAAACTACAATCCTTTCGTCAATATGATCCGATCAATTACAAAATATAAAAATGTGTCAATCTTGATTATCAATCATATTTTTCATTCCACTATTAAGTCAATATAAGTTGAAAACTCCTTTTTAACTTATGAGGACACATTGACCAGGGATTTCGTTATCAACTTAACTGAGTGAAATGTAGAACATTATCTCTTACTATCTAAGAGTGACAAATCATCTATTGATCATTTACAACCTTCATATGATTCTTGATATACCCAAACGATGTCGTATTAGCGACACTTGGCAAAACAACATCTAATATCATCAAAGTATGACTATTTCCATATAAGACACTATGATGACCTCAAGTCAAAAGACCAATTCTACCACCCAACATTAGAAATTAACCATTAATATTCAAATAGTTATCCATGTGAAATCTCCCAGTGGATCTCCAATGTTTTGTTACTATAAAAAAAAAAATCGTGTTCATTTAAGCATCACCATATTTCAGCTTTGTGAGATTAGTTACTTACTTCACAAGTAAAAAAATGTCACACGTGATGGTCTATTCGTAATAACAATATCTATATCTCGTTATTATTTACGACCACGAATGATTTAAGATTCAATGATATGTAATTTGTATATCATAATCCCAACTCCTTTTGATTAACAAATCACCAATATCTGAATCTACATACTTTATTATTTTATTTAATTGACTATTAATTAAATAATGGATCTACTATAAAATTGCATCAATTATATACTAAAAGTTTTTATGTCCAAAATTGATTGGATTTAGGACATAACACTTACATGATTAATGGCCATGCTAAAACTATTTTAGATGGGATTGGAGTCCTATTGATTTGCAATGTCATCGGACTTTTTATTTTTAATGGGATTGGTCACTCATCAAAGTGAAGGATATGTAACAAATTTATGTGTTGTTGCTAGACGTTTGTTGTGATTGGAAGTACCTATTGCTTGACTAAAAAAAAGTTTGAGCTGAGACGACTCAAAGCTCATTTGTACAAGCCAAGGCTTGGGCCAAGCCTCAAAAAGGAGATTTGGCCCAAGCCTGAGCTAGCCCGCCAGCTGCACAAGTCCAAATATGAGTTGACTGATATGTGGACTCGTGTGTGGCCTGCCTTGCATAATTAATTTATTATCCCTTGTTCGAATTCTTTTTTTTTTTTTTTTTTAAATACATCTCTCTCTCTCTCTCTCTCAACCAAACATTTTTCAATAAAAAAAAATATATTACACGCAAATTCAAAAATTTTTTAATTTTCTTAATCGCATAATCTCCATCAAAACACTATTCCAAAATGCATTTTTTGTTTTAAAAAAAAAAAGCATTTAGTTTATAAATAAATGATAACTTCGTTTGTAAAATACAGCGACTTGCACAATTAATTTTGTTGTTTGTAAATTAAAAATAAATTCTTCTTATATTTGAGTAAAAAAATGAAAAGTCCATGAGCTATCTCGACTTGACAAAGGTTCGAGTCAGAGCTTGAGCCCCACCGGCTCGACTCAACCCCAAAAAGCTTGGCCCTTCTTTTATGAGCTGATATCAAGCCCCGAGCTTGGGCTAACAAGCCGGCTATATTGATGGGGTTACTAATGTTGATATATTGTGTTGCAGATATTATTTTTATAGTTTCTAATCGAATGGGTTCCTACTATGTTTATGTTGCTTATATTTTATGTTTGGATTTTGATGTTCTTCAGTTGTGCTGCCACATTGATGATCGTTTCACTGCGTTCATGCTTAATTCAGTTAACATGACGAACTAGAAAATGAAATGATTATTAAAAATTTGTACCCAAGACTCTCATTTTATCAACTCGAAACTAAGCCTCTTGTTTTAAAATTGTTATTACTAGTGTTATTGCAAAGACTTACAAGGGGTTAAACTTGGGAACTTGGCTCCACGTTATTGCAATCAGTTAGCCTATTGCTGGGACTAGCTGAAAATCGTTCGGATGACATTTGGAAGAGTTCATAAGTAACAAGTTATGTACTAATTTGAAGTCTATTAGTCCACTTGCATTTTTCTGTAGTTCGGGATGAATTGCTTCTAGTAAAAATTTCAATCATGCAGCTATAAACCAGATTGATTAATAAAGCAGCCACATTCCTTTTCAATCATATTAGTACTGCTGATTCATATAAAACTGGTGATCAGAGTTTCATTAGGCAAGAAGTTGTAAAGATAGATTATCAGTCCGACCACAATTCTATTTCAATCATGCAGCCATAGTTGTATATTTCCATCGGCTTATCTATTCTTGAAAATAGGGTGGGAGCATGAACAAATAAGATGATTAAACCTTTAGAGGTTTATCAAGACAGTAGAGTTCTAAAACTCCGTTTGGGGTAGAAACATATGCTACTTCATCGAAAACATTTTCGGAACCATGGTACATGGCCAAAATAATTAGCATAAAGATTGATATAATGTCACATGACACTCTATCATTGATCTGTTTAAAACACAATCATCTTTTCCATCAAATCATCACCTGCCACCTAGAATTTTGGCACTGCTTCTGACATTGTTAACTGGTCAACATTGTTAGTTGACCAAACCAGCATGCTATCTTGTCGCATAAGTTTCCTAGTTTACAACAATACGTGCCAAACTAGTTTTTTTCAATATTTTTTCTTCTGAAACTGACTAGGAAACCCACTTTTTGCTCTGATATAATAATTTAAGTGAAAAAGTTTACCTTGATTATCTTATAATCAATAATCAATGCAATATATTAAGAGGACATTTGGTCATGTTTAAAAGTATCAACTCTGCATGCAACCAAGAGAAGCTAAAAAGCCACTTCTAAGCACAACTAAACATACTACAAATCTTGCATTGAATATATAATCAATATAAACTTCTTGCCCTTGATAAGGCCCTTCTGCATTGAAATGAGAGTCTTCTCAAATTCAATTCATTGTTCTTCAGATGGCTTATTTCAGTTCTACGATCTACAGAAAATTTTGTAGCGACCAATTCAAGAGAGCATTATCAATGATAATAGTCAGTTGCAAGTGTCAAATAGGATATATGATGCAATCCAAAATTCAACTTGCTGGGAAAGTGCATGAACCCTGTACCAGGCTGAAATGCACCAACAATCCAAATGTCATTCCTGTTAATTTGAAATGACATCAACATAGCACTGTTTAAACCACCAAGTATCACTACGAATCAATCTAATATAAATTTCCAAATTAGTTCCTGTAATAGCAATATGCAACACGTATTGAGCATCACCAAATAGAATTTAATTAAACCAAGCTGCAACCTACCTTTCCCACCATTCAACAAAAGATAACAAATAGATGGCAATTTATATTGAAAATGAGAAAAATAAATAATAAAATTCAGAAAAGCCATTCAGAATTAGATGGGTGGAAGCTCAAATTCTATGGATACCATAATTGTCCATTATGCCATGATAACAGCATTGAGAATGAGGAATTACTTTTTAATTATCGCTGCCCAGCTCACTTTTCAAACCAACATTCAAAGTAACAAATAACTGGGACAACCAATCATTCAGTAAAATGTAGTCACAAAAGACATGGTATTAAAAGCAAAAAAAATACTTATTAGAAATACGATTTTGTTTTTTAACATCGCTTTTTCTTTAAGCAAAAAAAAACATTTTTTTTTCTATCATTGTCAATCAAACAAAGTTATTACTTATTTTTCAAATATACTTACTTATATAAAAGTAAATTTACTTTCAAGTCAAATTTTAAGCTTAGCCAAACATGTAACTGAACTTAAAACTTGACAGTAGCTAAAAGTTATTTTTCTCAAAATAAAGTCTCTAATTTTATTTTACTTTCTTATATTGAAAGCAGCTATCAAATCAAGACATACTTTTTTCACCTTGATAAGTTAATCAAAGGTCATAAGATAATTAATGTTCTACATTCTTAAACAATCAAATGTAGAGTTTTAAACTTATTTGATCAAGATAGCCTATTTATTCAAAGCAAACTTTCTGCTTTGATTTGATATACGGATGCTCCTTTTGGTTTATATCTTATTATTTCAGTACTAAATTATCAAGAATCCTGTCAATGAAAACCATTCCTTTGTGAACGATTTTAGGAGCATTGAAAGTGATATGTCAATTGCAATGCTAAATATGATTTATTTATACAAATCATAATCAAATTCATCAAAAAATTCAACTTATATGAATAGCATAAACCCTGTGTCCGCACCAACAGAAATATGTTATTCACGTAAACTACAAACAATCAAATCTATTCTATCGATCAATCATAAATTTCAAAATGCGTACCTTTAATTGCAACATAGAATACACTCCGGCACATCACCAAACAAAATTTCAAAGAAATCTAGCCGATATCTACACCATTCAAAATTGAATATTAAATTGAAACTAAATAAACAAATAAATAAAATCAAATAGATGGGTGAGAGCTCATATTCTATGGGTGTAAAAATGGTCTGTCATGCCGTGGCAACAGCATTCAGTACGAGGAATTACTTTATAATCATCGCTACCCACCACAAAATTTTTCAACTTTACGAAAAAATAACAATCAAGATCATGTTATATCGTAACAGAATCGAATTAGATGCAAACTGGCAGAAAATTCAATAGAAAATAAATCATAATGCGTAAAGAATAATACAAAGAGGTGAGGCAGCGACAGGATTTATAGACAAAGAAGGGGAATAGGGGACCTGAAGTGGCGATTTGCT